AATTGTGATACTGCAGATAGCAGTAATCGTGAATCTGTAATTTGGGTGATTGTATGAGCGAATGTGAAATAAAATTCGCTACATCGAATACATCGAGAATTTATTTGTCGCGATATACGCCCGATACGCGACAATATACTGAAATATCTGTTCGATAGACCAAGGTTGCAGAAAGGGAGACGAGTACGGTTTCAGACACGTGTCGAACCAGTAGCGTTACGAATTCGGGTCCATGTTCGCTAGGGACACCTGTTGTTCTAAGTTACAGCTGCTGCAGTGAAACGTGTCCCGTCTTACTCTCCGTGAAGACAGTATTGTTTCTATTCTCTCTGTAAGTAAATAATTGGGTCTGAAGTGATTTTGTTGAGCGTGCAGTACAAATATCTTTTTCTTTTCTCATCCATGACTTAACAGCGTTTATCTTTTATTGTTTTCCCCAGTAGATTTGATTGATTTCAATCGCACAACCCATTTAATTCGGGATTTTTTTCCCCATAAACTTATTTTGCGACGAAAATATACTAATTTTGTGTTTTTAAGTGGAAAAGAGATTATTTTAAAATTGTATCGTGAATAACCATTATTATGTTGATGCAGTGTGATTTTTGTTGCTTTTCTTTGACGCTTTTTTTAATCTTATGTCATGCATATATACTCAAATGCTTTCCCTTGAGAACTGAATATTGAGTTTGACATCATTCATTATGTAAGAGATGTTGCTCCTTAATCCATTGAAGCCTGAAATTCATATAAACTTGCTTGCTTGTGGAGCTGAGCCCTTGTTGAGAAGCCAAATCTTCAGCTACTCAAGAATTTCCCAGCATTTTATGGAACCCGAAGGTTCATCACCGTGTTCACAAGAGCCCTCCACCGGCCCCATCATGAGCCAGATCAATCCAATCCATACCGTCCCGTCCTCTCTCTCTAGGATCCATTTTAATATTGTCCACCCACCTACGCATTGATCTTCCCAGTGGTCTCTTTCCTTCTGGCTTTCCAACCAATAGAAACAGTATCTAAAAATGAATTTACTGTCGGGAAGACCGGCTACTTTATGCCGTTTTTGGAAGTAACCGTTGTTTACTCAGAGAACTATACGAAACACGTAATCTTTGGTCAGAATGCAGAGCTTTTGAATCTTGAAACCGGTGATAATCGTAATTAACCAGTGTCCTTTGAACGCCTGGTTAATATATGAACATGGTTGTCTTGTTCGACTTGAATTTCAATGACGGTGCAGTAACACTTGGCTCTGTTTCTTCTGTTCACAGGCATGACGTTTGATTGAAGATGGCTTCACCAACTCCATCATTAGATTCACTGCCTGGAGCAAATTCAATTGGATCATTGGTCGACCAAACTGAACTGCGTTCACTGTCACCCCTTGTTGATTCTCCCGTGTCTGTGAGTGGATCTTCACCACCCGTGTCTTGCAGCAGTAACAGTTCCAGCACTGTGACCCCAGTTGGTGTGGGAAGTGCTGGTGCCAAGTGTGGACTATGCAATGAGACATTCACCAACCCCAAAGTGTTACCCTGTTTCCACACATTTTGTCACCCGTGTCTGGAGAAGAACCAAGAGAATCCTGACAAGTTAAGTTGCTCCTTGTGCCAAGGTATATCTGCCTTGATTCCAGATTTCACTGTTAAAAACAACGCTGAATTGTTGGTACCTAACGAAGGATTTAAACCGTCGTCATCGACAATTCTTCCTCATTGCACTGGCTGTAAAAGCAGAGAGTCAGGCGCAGTTGCGCGCTGCTTAGACTGTGACAATTTTTTGTGCCCCAACTGTATGATGGCGCACCAGTTCATGCACTGTTTTGAGGGACATCGGGTTCTCAGTTTGGGAGAATTGCAACAGAATGGTGGCAGTAAGGATGAGCTGAAGAATGGTCTGGTACCTTCTGGGGGCGGAAACGGGGTGGATAAGCCAGTCTATTGCATGAGACACAAGACAGAACCTGTAAAGTATTTCTGTCGTACATGCAATGGACCCATATGCAAAGAATGCACACTTCTAGAACACCCCAGTGGACTTCATGACTATGAACACCTGAGCGAGATTGGCCCCAAACAGCTGGAATTGATGACTCAGACTATGCAGGAAGGGAAAGGAAAGGCTACTGACATTCGTAACACCTTGAAGAACTTGGAACATACTTCAAGTCGTCTACAGGTGCAGTATCACAAAGCCCAGAATGAAATTAATGACACATTTCAGTTCTACCGCTCTATGATTGAAGAACGCAAACAGGAACTTCTGAAGGAGCTTGAAAGTGTGTTCTCAGCAAAGCAGATGTCCTTAAATGTCCTAGGTCAAAAAGCTCAGGAGACTATAGAGAAAATATACAGCACATGCGATTTTGTGGACAGAATAACTAAACATGCTACCATGGCTGAAGCTCTTATGTTCAAAAGAGTTTTTGATTCAAAGTTCCAGGCCCTCATGAACTATAACCTGGACATAACCTTGCAATCTGGATGCGACCTGGAGTTCGTATCCAATTATCAGGCAATACAGGTTGGAGTACGGAACACGTTCGGGTACGTTCGATCCAGTTCAGAGTTGCCTGTGGGGCCCAGCAAACAGCCGCCCATTGCTCGGCCAGTGAATGGTACTGTCCATCTGAACGGTAATTCAGGAAGCATGAATGGAGCAGGCGTTCATGGCGCAATGAACGGTGGGAGCGGTCTCAATGGCAGTGGATTGAACGGTGTGTTGGAGCGACCTTACTCCAATGGCCTCGTATCTTCGTCCAACTCCTCGACGTCTCCATTCGAGTCGAACATCATCTCGAAACGATTCAGTAGTGCCAACAGCTTGGGGCCCTTCTCGACAACAATCAGTGATCTGAATTTGAATGGTATAAATCCTTACGAGAAATGGTCTAATGGTGGCAGCGACACCATCTTCCAGAATGGCGGTGGGGAACACTATTCGCTGTCATCGGGAGGACCTGCTGACTCCATGCTTGACCTTACTTCGAAACTCATGTCGACTGCCATCTTCCCTCCGAAGTCGCAAATCAAACGGCAGAAGATGATCTACCACTGCAAGTTCGGCGAGTTCGGTGTTATGGAGGGTCAGTTCACAGAACCAAGCGGAGTTGCAGTAAACGCCCAGAATGACATCATCGTTGCAGACACCAACAACCATCGCATACAGATATTCGACAAGGAAGGTCGGTTTAAGTTCCAGTTTGGGGAGTGTGGCAAGAGAGATGGTCAGCTTTTGTACCCGAACCGAGTGGCCGTCGTTCGAACCTCGGGCGACATCATCGTAACCGAGCGGTCCCCCACTCATCAGATTCAGATCTATAACCAGTACGGTCAGTTTGTTCGCAAGTTCGGGGCAAATATTCTGCAACACCCCCGCGGCGTCACAGTTGATAACAAGGGACGCGTAGTTGTCGTTGAATGCAAAGTTATGCGTGTCATCATATTCGACCAGTCTGGTAACGTTCTGCAGAAATTTGGCTGCTCCAAGCACCTGGAGTTCCCGAACGGTGTCGTGGTGAACGACAAGCAGGAGATATTCATAAGCGACAACAGAGCGCACTGCGTGAAGGTGTTTAACTATGAAGGCATGTACCTCCGGCAGATCGGTGGGGAAGGCATCACAAATTACCCAATCGGCGTCGGCATCAACATGGCAGGCGAAATCCTGATTGCCGACAACCACAACAATTTCAATCTGACGATCTTCACCCAAGATGGGCAGCTGGTGTCCGCACTCGAGTCCAAGGTGAAGCATGCTCAGTGCTTTGATGTAGCGCTCATGGATGATGGCTCAGTAGTACTGGCAAGCAAAGACTACCGACTCTACATCTATCGCTACGTTCAGGTACCCCCAATTGGCCTCTAAACTTGACGGTTCGAGGTAACGAACGTTACTATTTCTGCTCATTTCGTCAGTGATTGAAGAATTCCATTGTATTTGGTTTTTCATGTGCCAGAATTGAAGGCTGTTACGACAGCGGGAGGAACACGAGCAAATACATTCTTGTTATCTGCAATCTTTGTCACTGCCCTCTTCTGCATGAGAACATGATGTTGTTTTCCATTATTGCCCCTCCCCGCCCCTTGGCAACATCTCTTGCGACTCGAGGTTTGGTAAGCGGGAGAGTGCATGTTATTATTATTATCATTATTATTATTATTGTTGTAATTAATGAAGACATATCCCCTCTCCTCATAACTTTACACTTTGAGCCTGCCTGTGGTGTTGAGGACATGTAACAGGTGCTGAGATCTCTCTAATAAAACAGACTGATAATGCACTGTTTACTTAAACCACAGAAATGCAAGAGGCGAAAGAACCATTCCCAATAATTGTTTGTGCATTTTCGAGGAGTGGCGTGCTAAGTTAGCTGTTGTTGTGTATAATCTTCTAATAGCTGATTTCTTCCCTTGAAAATAATTATAAATGCGATAGAAATAGTTTTGTATTGTATTTCATCATGTTGAATCTCAGAAGGTATCTCAGTTGCATGGAAAATGATGTTCTAAATACTGTGACTTCCGTTCTTTGCGGCGGAAGAAGTTTGGTTAACGGTGTACTGAGTGGTCATGTTCTTTAGTATTAATTCACGGAAACAAAAGAACTTAACTTGCATTGTTTTGACCAATACTTGATCTATCAAACCACTTAAACAGGGAATTTACAACATTTAAAAAAACATAAATGGTGCCTGGGCCATGTTGTGTAGTTCGGAAATTTATGCACCTGTTCCATACATAATATGCTCTATTTTACTATGCGTGGTTTTTTTTTTGGTGATGTTTTGTGACATTGTACTTGTAGTTAAGTAGAACAGAATGAGCACAGAAACTCTTTTATACATTGAGGAATCCCAAAGATTTCATACACCTGCAGTCTAAGAAAATAAAATATTTGCCGCCTGTTAAGTGGTGGCAGAAGTAGTGACTTTCCTTTGTTATCCTCCTGGAACAGAGACTTGATGTGACACGTTCCGAGATCAAATGCATCCTAGTCAGTCTGAAAAGTGTTAACAATAGCTAGCACGTGGCGGCAAGGCGCACACACTGTAGCTTCATTACAGCTGTATGATATACATTATGTTTATTATTATTATTATTGTGGTTATTATATTATTTTTCACTTCTGTTATTACCTATTTAAGTTTTGGTAAAATAAGAAAAGGGGCAGAAATGCTTTGGTGCTTGCAATATGCTTGATACCGTGAAGTGTTTTCAGTTGACCCTTATTGTGTTTTATGCTGCCTAATTTAAGATACGGACGCGCGAATTCTGCTGTGAAGACGCGCAGTTTTGTTTGTTGCTGAGTCTGAATTTACATTTCAAGTTAACGTCATAAAGTCTAGACCGTTGTAGATTGTATGGGAGCCTGCTTTTTAAATTAATTAATTTTAAGTATTACAGAATCTGTTCGTATTCAAGTCAAGAGAAGCGATTTTGTTTTAGTTTTATTGGCGTTGTTATTTCACTAGGGGTTTCTTAATAAAAACATTTCTTTATAGTTTCCTATTGCTGCTGTTCCAGCGTTGTAACATCACATGTTCAGTGTGCATGCACAAATCACTCTTTTGTCTTGACTACTAACAAGTTATTGTTTTTTAAGTTGTCCTTCTGTAAGATCTGTGCCATTGGTTATTGTTTGGTCCAGTCATGATTGGAACACATAGCCATCTTTGTGTTATGCTTGGCAATATTTATCCAATCGTAATTTATTTTGTTTTTTCTTTCATCCTCAGTTTAAGTGTAATGAGATTAGGGCACTGCTAGAAATAAGTTCTCCTGTATTAGTAATATTTTAATTTTTGTAACTGTCTTGTTATCTCGAGTAAATTGGCCGCAAGTCACTGTTTCTGTTGCAACATGAAGTTGGTGATAATCATACTGAAAGTTTGGGAGAGCTTAAACACTAAGATATGTAACTTTTAGTGCCCTAATCAAGAAGAGTTTTTGAATATTTTGTTGATTTTTAAAGAGCTCTTAAATTAATGTGTTGTGTACACAGTTTTTTGTTTATGTTATTTTTGTTGTAATATGCTTTTTTTAAATAAGAGTTTGTTTCCTTGAGTTTTTTTTCAAGCATGCTTTTTATTTTCCTACTGCGCATGTGCAGTACCTGTCATCTTCCATCGTTTATTGTCCTTCCTAAATGCTGATCACAAGGGAAAGTCATGGTACCAAAAATGATGGTGGATGGACTTGAGAAGATCCCTCCTGCTTGTAGTGTGAACTCAGTAGGGTTTGGAAGATAACAGTGCGGCCTGCCATTAAAAGATTGTTAAGGGCTAAACTGTGTAACGGAAGCTGCCGTGATTTGAACCTGCAGAGTACGTACCACATAAGATCAAGTTGTGATGCTGTCCCATGTGACCAAGTCTCGAAGTGATGCCTTAGAAGCATCGCAAGGATTTTGTCTGCCTCTTGAGGGAACGGCCTCGGATATTCAGAATTCAGAGAACTCCCAATGCACGCTTTTTTTACATTGAATTAATGTATGGTTTTCTACATATCAAGGGTCCTGTTTGAGTTAAAGGCCCGTATCTTGTACGAGACTCCGGCATTTGTAATAGATTTTCCTACTTAGAAGGTTTTTGTACGGTTTTTCTAAAAGTAATTCTAAAATAAAAGGGGTGTGTTTTAGCCCTTGTATCTTTGAATCCCATCGCTTAGAGATTCGGTTGTAAAAAAGCGTGCTGAATTTTTCATTTAAGGGAGATTTTTGGACCCTTATTCTTTAATCTGAATAATCTTCCAGACCCTAGACACAAGTTTTAGTAGAAAAATATGATAGGACAGTATTGGCCTCAAGGCTGTTTGTTTCTTCACCTGTGTAAGGCTTCAGCTAGATAGGGCTGATTGAGTATATCGACTCCCAACTCAAACTTGAGGAAGCTTCGATTTGCTGACATATATAACATACTCCAAATAGATTTTAGAATCTTTGTCGTAGTTTGGGCCATGTTCTTCAGTACAAAATTTTGTGGGGTGTTGACATATAAAACTTTAAATGTCTCGTATGTAGGCAAATGGGAAAGACTGATTTGTGAAAAGGGGGGAGGTTTTTTAGAAGATAATCTTGTTCCCTTTTTAGAAAAACTACAACACCTCGTTACTAAAAAAACTTTTGTAAAAAAATACATAAAAATAATGACTGTTACGGCTGCGTAAACACCATGTACCATTTGTACAGACTACGGAACTAACCCGATTGTTCTTGTATCCCGCTTTCCCAGTCCTGTTCTCATAGTCCTGTAACAGTGTATTTGCTGTTCAGGTCTGTTCAGGCAGTCCCTTCTCAATCAGAGAAGTGGACCTAAACTTATACTAAGCAAACTACAGCTGTAGCAACTCTGTACCACTAATCGATGTGAATCAAGTCAATTACTCTAGGGAACATTAACCCAGTGGGTGTTAAGTAAAAGAAATTTATTATATTACGTACGTAGCCTTTTCCTGCTTTTGTATTGCAAAGTGGACAACTAAATGTCTTGTATAGTTTGTTACTGTGAAACTTTGCGCTTCTGTGTCACTTGTATAAAGTATTATTGCAGTTTTTCCGTAAAGTGTATGTTTGCCCACCTGTGTACTATACCAATGAGGCATGGCGTCGCATTGTTTTATTATAAATTAAAAGTAGATGATCCTGGCGTCAGTTAAGACCCGAGCAGTATGTTCCGTCGAGCTAACACACAAACAAAAAAACACTTGTTGATCTTATTGCTGCATAGTTCGAATTAAAAACTGCGTTTGCTCATGTTGTTATAGTTTTCATTGAATAAACGAGTATGGAATACCAGCTTAGAGACACCCAATTTTTTTTAATTATTATGAAATTGTGAATATTAATGTGTAATAATGTGAGAATCAATAAACACCAAGTAGTCGCGAGCCACGTTATAAAAGTGAGCACCTGTGTTGAAGACTTTTAGTTGCTAGGCTGCAGGCTGAAGATAACTGCACAGTCTCTCTTCTGCGCCCCCTCAAGTCTCATCTTCCCACATAACAGACTGTGATCGTTGGAATTGCCTTCCTCAATTACCATGTTATTATTAATTATATTACGTATTTGTCTTAGTTCTACCCATAAACCTTAATAGACGAAAATAGAGAAAAAAATATTTATACATTATAAATATAAACTTTTATTAAAAAGAATAACAATCACTCATTAACACATTCACAAATACAATGTTGTTATAGTAATACAAGTAAAATGGTGTATGTACTGAAAGTTCTTTTGTTTAAAAAAAAAAGATGGAAGTGCTCTCTTTTGAAATGCGGCCATTTCTCTGTCCTCTTTGTTAAATCTTTGAACAGCCGATGTTGTAGGAAATTTGCTTGTCCGGTTCTCGATCCAATCTCATGATTAGATCGAAGTTGTTACGACTTCAGCAGCTGGCATCTGACGTGTACGTTCTTGTCATTAAATTTTTTAAACAAGAACTGTGGACTATTGCATTCAGCGTACAAAAATGCTAGTCTTGATAGATTTTGTGGTATAAAATCGGGTGGTACCACGGTATTTAGAAAAACAGTACCCAATAAATTAGAGTACTGAATGTGATATCCCTAAACACATTTCTTCAATCAGAGCTGTTTAAATAATAATTTTCTTAGTACATATTTTAAGGTTTTGTTTCTGTTGACGGCAAGAGAAATACTGTCAGTTTTGACCTTTTCATGCTACACAGTAGAAGTGGTGTTTCATCCTGTGATATCCAACCCTCCCCCCCTACCGCTCTGTTTCAACCGATTACTACAGGATAGGATTGTAAGGGGAAACACAGTGACACCACTTACTCAGCATTCTTGCAGTTATGCACAGTGACGGTGACTGACTGCCCCCCCCCAGAAGTTGGGTGTTATTGGTTTTCAGTGTAACAGTCATATCACCTTCCAAATTTTCCATGATTTCCCCCCCCCCAGAAATTTGATGTATAATATACTGTTTTATTAAACTAGAAGTTAATGTACGTGAAATTTTCATTTTATTCCACATGTATCGATTGAAATTCCATGATTTGGCTGCTAAATTTCTTAAATGGTCTTAAGTAAATAATATGTTTAAGATTTATTTACCTTAATTCTGAGTACCATAAGGGTTTCCATAGATCTCTTCTGCTTTATTTCTGTATTTAAGTATACTGAGTCCAGCGGAGGCGTTCCAACAAAATAATCCTTGAACTAAAGAGTTATATGGTCAAAAATACTTGAGGGGTGAGGATGTGGTGTTATAAGTGGACTCCCTAAAAAGGTTGTACTGGGGCCATAACCTACAAAAAACGAGCAGTCCCATCAGAAGACAAAGGAGACCTTGCCAGTGCCAAATTGAACAATGCAGAAGCATGAAAATTGCTTAATACCCGGAAAAAAATAAACTGAATTGTGTTGCATGAGATGACATGCCACGATTTCAGTGTGAACCAAAAACAAAACGAAGTATGAGCAATGTCTTTCAGCGCATTCTCTCCTGGAAAAAAAAAACTCTGGCATTGCTTGAGAATGCAACGAAAATCTTAAAACAACGTTTAATCGAAAGAAAATGTTGACGCTGTTTAATCCATAATAGTGTAATTTTTTGTTTTCTTATTCGCATGGCTGTTGAAAGTTTTTGTTTTCCTGTTCCGTTCGTGGCCTATTTTAAAAATAAATGAAGTGTTGGAGGTCAGTATTCACTTTAGATACGTTATTTTTCATGCCTTTTGACTCAACAACTTTTAAATATATTTTTAAGGGGGGTTAAGTTTATATCAAGGATTTTATGGGCCAAGATTTAAAATACATATTTTGTTAACGTACTTTCTCCAAATTACAATGCCATGGGCATGAAACAAAATAGTGCCTCATATCAGACTGCCAGCTGCTAGAAGCTCTGCTTGTAATCGCACAAACTTATTTTTATAGAAATACTTCGAAATTGGTTGCATATGTGGACGTAGTACTATGCCACTCACTTCCGTGTGCACACAACACACCATCTCAAAATGGCAGACTGCTGCTTTTCTTTCTGCTCCCCACCCGTTCC